CCCTTAGTTCGGACCGTGAGTCCCTCATCATCAACTCTACCCTCATCGCTGTCTGACCCACTCAACAACTACGCAAACATTATCTGCACTACAACCCCCTATTGGAGTCCTACCACAGCATGTGTCTGACCGGCACCTGATTTTCTAAGAAATGAATGTGTCCGACAGGTATCTTCACCACGGTCAAGCGATCGTCTAACAATATTCACATAGACTGTACACATAATCTAATCCTAACATTGATTAGTTCACTTACAGCAGCATTAGATAGAACWGGCTATGGTAGTATACTACAGTCCTACTCTAATCTGTCTGTGAGGTGTTAGCAGTTGTCAACCAACTAATAAATGATTTAAATAAGACTATGTTGCAGATGTATGATCAGTGGGTATGGTTGTGTTTCCAGTTGAGCACCAATTGGAACCTACCCTCCCCTCCATCCAACATACCGAACAGCATCAATGAGCAGGCAGTGTCTTCGTGTGTATTYCGGCCCACCCCTGTGCCCAAGTTGTCACCGAGCAAGMCAGCCCAACCACTCTTATTTACCCTCGTACGACGACGAGCCTTCCTGTCCATGTGATCTGGCTGATCAGGAGGTATTTATAGAGCTCCCCCATCTCTTCAGGAATTCTTTAACGTCGCAGTCAGGACGACGATCACAGCCAGATTCACAATGAACTCCCAACCATAAATATTTATAAACGGTCTGGTAAGCGTCTGTCATGGGCTGGCACACCCGGAGCAACTTCTATTTGGCACAGCAAAGTGCCTTAATGGACAGCAGCCATCGCATGCGTGACCTACTCCCATTGGGTTGGCATGGTGATCGTGACCCAGTGCTTCGACCAGGGCCCTTCAGAGGCACCGCCCTTTCTCCTTCCAGATGCTTCCGGGAAGATTGTCGTCTCTCAAGGTATCGCGCTCAAGACACCTCACCAAAAGAGAGGACTCTCAAGTTGGACTCACTTCCTCACGGTAAGAAGAGATTGAGAGAGTAGATAAGGTGAGGGATCAACATACCTGGAGATAGCTGCCCCCAACCACAGATTTCTCACCACTTGAGCTGATGTTGCATTTGATGACCGGTCATGACCTCGGTACCACCCACAACGCAATGCAGTGCCACCTTAGTCCAATGCCACATCAGCATGCTCTCATCACCAATCATACATTCCGCATGTATCCACGNCATGCTCTCATCACCAATCATACATTCCGCATGTATCCACGACATACACTGCCGTAATAGCTTTCCGGTGCACCCCTCTCTACCCATGGTGTGCACCTATAGTAGCCTGACGTCACAAGTACCCACTGCGAAGAAGCATCATCAAYGCACCAAGTCTGTATAACGCCAGCGTGCCRAARGTAAGTGGCGATGGCACGCTGRCGATCAAACCAGCTCCGATACCAAATTGCAAGGAACATGAGTATGGACGAAGCACAGAAATCCAGAAAGCAAAATCACACTGAAGTCCAAGTATTCAAAGCCAAAGCAGATAGCACATGGAACCGAGTAACYATCCAATTGAGAATGATACAGAAGAATCGTGAGTCAATGTCCATGCCCATCARGGCAACACCAACAGCATAACCCAAAYGTAGCTCTCTCTTGTGAAYGGCGCCASGCGCCCTATCTACTCTACAGCCTATCCCACAACTACAGCAATGAACAGCAACCAGACAACTTGACTACCAGCGAGTGATGATGTCAACACCAATGCCGGCCTCCACCTTCCCAGGTACGTGTCCTCTTCCCCACACTCTCCCTTGTTACCCACACAGCGCCCTTCACCTCCGACGTACCACCTTCGCCCTCACCTCCCCTGCACCCTCATGCGGCCCAGCTATGGCCGCCAGTGCCTTGCGTGCAGGCAGCGCCCTACCGCCTAGCGCTGGCCTTCTTGCTCTTAGCGCAGCACTGCCTTGCACAGCGCAGCACACTTGCATCCGCGCAGCGTGCCCGCAAGTGCCAGCATTGGCCAAGATCCCTGCCCACTCGCCCTGCTTGCCTATATGCCAGTGTTGCGTGTGGGCGGCCTCCCTTCAGCCTGCGACTGGGCCCCAGTGCCTGAACCCAGGCCCGATACAGTTGGGGCCCGGGAGATGCAGTTGCGCCTGTTCCATCAAGGCCTGCGGCCAGATTCAGATAGTGGGCCGGTTTCCCATTGGCATTTTCGGCCTCTATATCCAGCATGCATTTTCGGCCTCTATATTTTCGGCCTCTATATCCAGCATGCATTGTCGGCCTCACGTTTATGTGCCCAGGGCCTAACCAACTCAGAGGCCCTGGGATTTCCGCATTTGCAGAGGTCCGAGACTCGGTGCACTCCAACCAACTGGCGTGCTGCAACTGT